GACCACTTTGTAGTCTATACTATAGACCACTTTGTAGTCTATACTATAGACCACTTTGTAGTCTATACTATAGACCACTTTGTGTCTACTACCTTGTAGTCTATACTATAGACCACATTGTAGTCTATACTATAGACCACATTGTAGTCTATACTATAGACCACATTGTAGTCTATACTATAGACCACTTTGTAGTCTATACTATAGACCACTTTGTAGTCTATACTATAGACCACTTTGTAGTCTATACTATAGACCACTTTGTAGTCTATACTATAGACCACTTTGTAGTCTATACTATAGACCACTTTGTAGTCTATACTATAGACCACTTTGTAGTCTATACTATAGACCACTTTGTAGTCTATACTATAGACCACTTTGTAGTCTATACTATAGACCACTTTGTAGTCTATACTATAGACCACTTTGTAGTCTATACTATAGACCACTTTGTAGTCTATACTATAGACCACTTTGTAGTCTATACTATAGACCACTTTGTAGTCTATACTATAGATCACTTTGTAGTCTATACTATAGACCACTTTGTAGTCAATACTATAGACCACTTTGTAGTCTATACTATACACCAATTTGTAGTCTATACTATACACCAATAGATCACTTTGTAGTCTATACTATAGATCACTTTGTAGTCTATACTATAGACCACTTTGTAGTCAATACTATAGACCACTTTGTAGTCTATACTATACACCAATTTGTAGTCTATACTATAGATCACTTTGTAGTCTATACTATAGACCACTTTGTAGTCTATACTATAGACCACTTTGTAGTCTATACTATAGACCACTTTGTAGTCTATACTATAGACCACTTTGTAGTCTATACTATAGACCACATTGTAGTCTATACTATAGACCACATTGTAGTCTATACTATAGACCACATTGTAGTCTATACTATAGACCACTTTGTAGTCTATACTATAGACCACTTTGTAGTCTATACTATAGACCACTTTGTAGTCTATACTATAGACCACTTTGTAGTCAATACTATAGACCACTTTGTAGTCTATACTATACACCAATTTGTAGTCTATACTATAGATCACTTTGTAGTCTATACTATAGACCACTTTGTAGTCTATACTATAGACCACTTTGTAGTCTATACTATAGACCACTTTGTAGTCTATACTATAGACCACTTTGTAGTCTATACTATAGACCACTTTGTAGTCTATACTATAGACCACTTTGTAGTCTATACTATAGACCACTTTGTAGTCTATACTATAGACCACTTTGTAGTCTATACTATAGACCACTTTGTAGTCTATACTATAGACCACTTTGTAGTCTATACTATAGACCACTTTGTAGTCTATACTATAGACCACTTTGTAGTCTATACTATAGACCACTTTGTAGTCTATACTATAGACCACTTTGTAGTCTATACTATAGACCACTTTGTAGTCTATACTATTGACCACTTTGTAGTCTATACTATAGACCACTTTGTAGTCTATACTATAGACCACTTTGTAGTCTATACTATAGACCACTTGTAGTCTATGCTATAGACCACTTTGTAGTCTATACTATAGACCACTTTGTAGTCTATACTATAGACCACTTTGTAGTCTATACTATAGACCACATTGTAGTCTATACTATAGACCACATTGTAGTCTATACTATAGACCACATTGTAGTCTATACTATAGACCACTTTGTAGTCTATACTATAGACCACTTGTAGTCTATACTATAGACCACTTTGTAGTCTATACTATAGACCACTTTGTAGTCAATACTATAGACCACTTTGTAGTCTAGACTATACACCAATTTGTAGTCTATACTATAGATCACTTTGTAGTCTATACTATAGACCACTTTGTAGTCTATACTATAGACCACTTTGTAGTCTATACTATAGACCACTTTGTAGTCTATACTATAGACCACTTTGTAGTCTATACTATAGACCACTTTGTAGTCTATACTATAGACCACTTTGTAGTCTATACTATAGACCACTTTGTAGTCTATACTATAGACCACTTTGTAGTCTATACTATAGACACTTTGTAGTCTATACTATAGACCCACTTTGTAGTCTATACTATAGACCACTTTGTAGTCTATACTATAGACCACTTGTAGTCTATACTATAGACCACTTTGTAGTCTATACTATAGACCACTTTGTAGTCTATACTATATGACCACTTTGTAGTCTATACTATAGACCACTTTGTAGTCTATACTACTAGACCACTTTGTAGTCTATACTATAGACCACTTTGTAGTCTATGCTATAGACCACTTTGTAGTCTATACTATAGACCACTTTGTAGTCTATACTATAGACCACTTTGTAGTCTATACCATAGACCACTTTGTAGTCTATACCATAGACCCCTTTGTAGTCTATACATAGACCACTTTGTAGTCTATACCTATAGACCACTTTGTAGTCTATACCTATAGACCACTTTGTAGTCTATACTATAGACCACTTTGGTAGTCTATACTATAGACCACTTTGTAGTCTATACTATAGACCACTTTGTAGTCTATACTATAGACCACTTTGGTAGTCTATACTATAGACCACTTGTAGTCTATACTATAGACCACTTTGTAGTCTATACTATAGACCACTTTGTAGTCTATACTATAGACCACTTTGTAGTCTATACTATAGGACCACTTGTAGTCTATACATAGACCTTTGTAGTCTAATTAACCACTTATAGACCACTTTGTAGTCTATAGTATAGACCACTTTGTAGTCTATACTATAGACCACTTTGTAGTCTATACTATAGACCACTTTGTAGTCTATACTAAAGACCACTTTGTAGTCTATACTATAGACCACTTTGTAGTCTATACTATAGACCATGTTGTAGTCTATACTATAGACCACTTGTAGTCTATACTATAGACCACTTTGTAGTCTACACTATAGACCACTTTGTAGTCTATACCATAGACCCCTTTATAGTCTATACTATAGACCACTTTGTAGTCTATACCATAGACCACTTTGTAGTCTATACTATAGACCACTTTGTAGTCTATACTATACACCACTTTGTAATCTATACTATACACCAATTTGTAGTCTATACTATACACCCACTTTGTAGTCTATACTATACACCACTTTGTAGTCTATACTATAGACCACTTTTTAGTCTATACTATACACCACTTTGTAGTCTATACTATACACCACTTTGTAGTCTATACTATAGACCCACTTTGTAGTCTATACTATAGACCACTTTGTAGTCTATACTATAGACCACTTTGTAGTCTATACTATAGACCACTTTGTAGTCTATACTATAGACCACTTTGTAGTCTATACTATAGACCACTTTGTAGTCTATACTATAGACCACTTTGTAGTCTATACTATAGACCACTTTGTAGTCTATACTATAGACCACTTTGTAGTCTATACTATAGACCACTTTGTAGTCTATACTATAGACCACTTTGTAGTCTATACTATAGACCACTTTGTAGTCTATACTATAGACCACTTTGTAGTCTATACTATAGACCACTTTGTAGTCTATACTATAGACCACTTGTAGTCTATACTATAGACCACTTTGTAGTCTATACTATAGACCACTTTGTAGTCTATACTATAGACCACTTGTAGTCTATACTATAGACCACTTTGTAGTCTATACTATAGACCACTTTGTAGTCTATACTATAGACCACTTTGTAGTCTATACTATAGACCACTTTGTAGTCTATACTATAGACCACTTGTAGTCTATACTATAGACCACTTTGTAGTCTATACTATAGACCACTTTGTAGTCTATACTATAGACCACTTTGTAGTCTATACTATAGACCACTTTGTAGTCTATACTATAGACCACTTTGTAGTCTATACTATAGACCACTTTGTAAGTCTATACTATAGACCACTTTGTAGTCTATACTATAGACCACTTTGTAGTCTATACTATAGACCACTTTGTAGTCTATACTATAGACCACTTTGTAGTCTATACTATAGACCACTTTGTAGTCTATACTATAGACCACTTTGTAGTCTATACTATAGACCACTTTGTAGTCTATACTATAGACCACTTTGTAGTCTATACTATAGACCACTTTGTAGTCTATACTATAGACCACTTTGTAGTCTATACTATAGACCACTTTGTAGTCTATACTATAGACCACTTTGTAGTCTATACTATAGACCACTTTGTAGTCTACTATAGACCACTTGTAGTCTATACTATAGATCACTAGGTAGTCTATTGTGTACGCTATTTTGCAGTCTACAGTCTCTATCAGAAAATGTGGTTAAAATAATATTTTTTTTTTTTTTTTTTTGTAAATATCGCGCCTATTACATAATAGTAATTCATTTAAAGCAGTTTAAGAACAATTTTTTCTCATTAAAAAATGTACTTTTATGGAAAAAATACTTTTTTTTATTTACAACACAAAATTAATGTCATGTTAGAAAACATGATTTAAATAAATGCACGAAAACAAACAACGATGATGATAATGAAAAACATACAAAAAAAAAATCAAATAAAAAATCAATCACTTTTCTCTCATGATGTATTATTTTTAAGATAGGTTAAGTGTTTCACTCTCACTTTTCCCAGTTAGTTCTCAAATATGATTTAATTTTTAATAAAGAGAAGTCAAGACAAATTCATTATTTTGTTTAGTAAACGATTCATATAGAACATGCATGTACTTCCAATTCGTTGGCTATTTGGAACGTAACATCATGTCACGATCAGAGGTTGCGGTAAAACAACGTAATTGTAGTTGCTGTTGTTGTTGTTGTTTGTCTCCATTCAGTTTTTTTGAAATTTTTTTGACAAAACCACAAAAAACATTGTTGTTAATTGTGTTCATTGGAAAACATTTGCTTTTGCAAACATTTTGAAACAAAATTTACATCTAGATAAAATATTAATAATAAAATTTAACATATTTTACTTTTTGCAGAGTCGTCCAATTGTTGAAACTTCAAATATTATAATAAATACTTCAACACGCAAATCCATACTACAGATCTCAGATATAGTGACCGATGATAGTGGTAAATATACCGTAGAAGTAATGAATGAATTTGGTAACGATGTAGCCGTAGCTTCAGTGGCCGTAGAGGGACCACCGGAACCGCCAGTGGTAAACCAAGTATTTCACAAGGTCCAGATCGTGTATCGATTGCTTGGTGTGGTCCACCCTATGATGGTGGTTGCATGATTACCGGCTTTATGTAATTATAATATTTTAAAATTTTTTATTTACGTTTTTAATTTTGAAACGGGTTTGTTTTTGTTTTAGTATTGAAATGCAAGAATTATTGTCATCCAACGATAATGAAAATGAAGCTGTTTGGTTGGAAATTGCCTCCGTGGTGGATTCTTTGGCTTATACCGTCAAGGATCTTAAACCATTGTGTACTTATAGATTTCGTGTTCGTGCTGAAAATGTTCATGGTCGCAGTGAGCCCGGTTTGCCCAGCGATCGTGTACATGTCACCGAAGAAAATGAAGACTTAAATGATGGTAAAGAACGATTATTTTAACTGAAAATAATTGATTTCTATTACTGAACTAGAACTGAAGTAGAGCTGAACTAGAACTGAAGTAGAATTGAACTAGAACTGAACTAGAACTGAACTAGAACTGAGCTAGAACTGAACTAGAACTGAACTAGAACTGAACTAGAACTGAACTAGAACTGAACTAGAACTGACTACTAGAACTGAACTAGAACTGAACTAGAACTGAACTAGAACTGAACTAGAACTGAACTAGAACTGAACTAGAACTGAACTAGAACTGAACTAGAACTGAACTAGAACTGAACTAGAACTGAACTAGAACTGAACTAGAATGAACTAGACTGAACTAGAACTGAACTAGAACTGAACTAGAACTGAACTAGAACTGAACTAGAACTGAACTAGAACTTGAACTAGAACTGACTAGAACTGAACTAGAACTGAACTAGAACTGAACTAGAACTGAACTAGAACTGAACTAGAACTGAACTAGAACTGAACTAGAACTGAACTAGAACTGAACTAGAACTGAACTAGAACTGAACTAGAACTGAACTAGAACTGAACTAGAACTGAACTAGAACTGAACTAGAACTGAACTAGAACTGAACTAGAACTGAACTAGAACTGAACTAGAACTGAACTAGAACTGAACTAGAACTGAACTAGAACTGAACTAGAACTGAACTAGAACTGAACTAGAACTGAACTAGAACTGAACTAGAACTGAACTAGAACTGAACTAGAACTGAACTAGAACTGAACTAGAACTGAACTAGAACTGAACTAGAACGAACTAGAACTGAACTAGAACTGAACTAGAACTGAACTAGAACTGAACTAGAACTGAACTAGAACTGAACTAGAACTGAACTAGAACTGAACTAGAACTGAACTAGAACTGAACTAAACTGAACTGAACTAGAACTGAACTAGAACTGAACTAGAACTGAACTAGAACTGAACTAGAACTGAACTAGAACTGAACTAGAACTGAACTAGAACTGAACTAGAACTGAACTAGAACTGAACTAGAACTGAACTAGACTGAACTAGAACTGAACTAGAACTGAACTAGAACTGAACTAGAACTGAACTAGAACTGAACTAGAACTGAACTAGAACTGAACTAGAACTGAACTAGAACTGAACTGAACTGAACTAGAACTGAAATAGAACTGAACTAGAACTAGAACTGAACTGATGTGGAACGTGAACTGACCACTTCTTCGAATTTTTATCTTTTTATCGAAAATTTTACTTTTTGTCGGAAATTCGACTTTTTCAAAATTTCGATTTTTCTTTAAAAAATTTCAAATTTTTACCAATATTTTTTCTTATCGAAATTTTATTTTTTTTCAAAAATTCGACTTCATTTAGATTTCCAAAAATCGATTTCTATAAAAGCCGGTGGCGATTTTAAAAATCGCTTTGATGTTTTAGAAGAATTGGGCAAAGGACGTTTCGGCATTGTCTACAAAGTTCAAGAGAAAGAAGAACCCAAACGCATATGTGCAGCGAAAATAATAAAATGCATTAAATCACGTGATCGTGTCAAAGTTCAAGAGGAAATTTCCATAATGAGATCATTAAAACATCCCAAACTTTTGCAATTGGCAGCATCGTTTGAAAGTTCTCGTGAAATAGTAATGGTTATGGAGTAGTAAGTAAAATGTTTAAAATGAATTTTTAATTTTTAATCATAATTTAAATTAAAATTCCTAACTTCCAGCATTACTGGCGGAGAACTATTCGAACGTGTAGTAGCCGATGACTTCACCTTAACCGAACGTGATTGTGTTTTATTCGTGCGTCAAGTGTGCGAGGGTGTCGCCTACATGCACAGCCAGTCAATAGTACATTTGGATCTTAAACCTGAAAATATTATGTGTAAGACTCGCACTTGTCATCAAATCAAAATTATTGATTTTGGTTTAGCTCAACGCTTAAATACCGGTTCTCCTGTGAGAGTTCTTTTCGGTACACCCGAATTTATTCCACCGGAAATTATTAGCTATGAACCCATAGGTTTCCAATCGGATATGTGGAGTGTGGGTGTCATATGTTATGTGCTGTAAGTAGAGATTGTTAAACATTTTAAAGGAAATTTCCTAAATAGTTCCTTTATAGTTTATCCGGTCTTTCGCCCTTTATGGGTGATAGTGATGTCGAAACCTTTCGAATATTACCCGAGCCGATTATGATTTCGATGATGATGCATTTGATTGTGTCTCTCAACAGGCTAAAGACTTTATTTCGAATTTATTAGTTCATCGTAAGGAAGATCGCTGGACGGCTGAACAATGTTTAGAATCTGCCTGGTTGAAACAGGGACAACAGGATGAGAATTTAAGCAATAAGAAAATATGCACAGATAAACTGAAGAAGTTTATCATACGTCGGAAGTGGCAAGTAAGTAAAGAGTTTTTGACAATAACTGCCAGTTTTGTTTTTGATTTTGTTGTCGTTTGTTTGTTTGCTCTTCTTTACTAACTACTTGTTGTTTTTGCTATAAAGCTTCAATGTTATCAATGTTACTGAACTAGAACTGAACAAGAACTGAACTAGAACTGAACTAGAACTGAACTAGAACTGAACTAGAACTGAACTAGAACTGAACTAGAACTGAACTAGAACTGAACTAGAACTGAACTAGAACTGAACTAGAACTGAACTAGAACTGAACTAGAACTGAACTAGAACTGAACTAGAACTGAACTAGAACTGAACTAGAACTGAACTAGAACTGAACTAGAACTGACTAGACTGAACTAGAACTGAACTAGAACTGAACTAGACTGAACTAGAACTGAACTAGAACTGAACTAGAACTGAACTAGAACTGAACTAGAACTGAACTAGAACTGAACTAGAACTGAACTAGAACTGAACTAGAACTGAACTAGAACTGAACTAGAACTGAACTAGAACTGAACTAGAACTGAACTAGAACTGAACTAGAACTGAACTAGAACTAGAACTGAACTAGAACTGAACTAGAACTGAACTAGAACTGAACTAGAACTGAACTAGAACTGAACTAGAACTGAACTAGAACTGAACTAGAACTGAACTAGAACTGAACTAGAACTGAACTAGAACTGAACTAGAACTGAACTAGAACTGAACTAGAACTGAACTAGAACTGAACTAGAACTGAACTAGAACTGAACTAGAACTGAACTAGAACTGAACTAGAACTGAACGAACTAGAACTGAACTAGAACTGAACTAGAACTGAACTAGAACTGAACTAGAACTGAACTAGAACTGAACTAGAACTGAACTAGAACTGAACTAGAACTGAACTAGAACTGAACTAGAACTGAACTAGAACTGAACTAGAACTGAACTAGAACTGATCTAGAACTGAACTAGAACTGAACTAGAACTGAACTAGAACTGAACTAGAACTGAACTAGAACTGAACTAGAACTGAACTAGAACTGAACTAGAACTGAACTAGAACTGAACTAGAACTGAACTAGAACTAGAACTGAACTAGAACTGAACTAGAACTGAACTAGAACTGAACTAGAACTAAACTAGAACTGAACTAGAACTGAACTAGAACTGAAACTAGAACTGAACTAGAACTGAACTAGAAACTGAACTAGAACTGACTAGAACTGAACTAGAAACTGAACTAGAACTGAACTAGAACTGAACTAGAACTGAACTAGAACTGAACTGAACTGAACTTGAACTGAACTAGAATTGAACTCGAACTGAAACTAGAACTAGACTGAACTAGAACTGAACTAGAACTAGAACTGAACTAGAACTGAACTAGAACTGAAACTAGAACTGAACTAGAACTGAACTAGAACCCTATGACAAACGTAGAAAACTGAACTAGAACTGAACTAGAACTGAACTAGAACTGAAGGAACTAGAACTGAACTAGAACTGAACTAGAACTGAACTAGAACTGAACTAGAACTGAACTAGAACTGAACTAGAATAACTAGAACGGAACTAGAACTGAACGAAACTGAACTAGAACTGAACAGAACTGAACTAGAACTGAACTAGAACTGAACTAGAACTGAACTAAGAACTGAACTAACTGAACTGAACTAGAACTGAACTAGAACTGAACTAGAACTGAACTAGAACTAGAACTGAACTAGAACTGAACTAGAACTAGAACTGAACTAGAACTGAACTAGAACTGAACTAGAACTGAACTAGAACTGAACTAGAACTGAACTAGAACTGAACTAGAACTGAACTAGAACTGAACTAGAACTGAACTAGAACTGAACTAGAACTGAACTAGAACTGAACTAGAACTGAACTAGAACTGAACTAGAACTGAACTAGAACTGAACTAGAACTGAACTAGAACTGAACTAGAACTGAACTAGAACTGAACTAGAACTGAACTAGAACTGAACTAGAACTGAACTAGAATGAACTAGAACTGAACTAGAACTGAACTAGAACTGAACTAGAACTGAACTAGAACTGAACTAGAACTGAACTAGAACTGAACTAGAACTGAACTAGAACTGAACTAGAACTGAACTAAAACTGAACTAGAACTGAACTAGAACTGAACTAGAACTGAACTAGAACTGAACTAGAACTGAACTAGAACTGAACTAGAAATGAACTAGAACTGAACTAGAACTTAACTAGAACTTAACTAGAACTGAAACTAGAACGAACTAGAAACTGAACTAGAACTGAACTAGAACTGAACTAGAACTGAACTAGTAACTGAACTAGAACTGAACTAGAACTGAACTAGAACTGAACTAGAACTGAAACTAGAACTGAACTAGAACTGAACTAGAACTGAACTAGAACTGAACTAGAACTGAACTAGAACTAGAACTGAACTAGAACTGAACTAGAACTAAACTAGAACTGTTCAAATGAAAATAAATTGTACATATTTGGCTAAATCGTATCGCTATTTTCCTGCTTTTGTTTTATTTATTTCCATGTTTGTTTTTTATTTTATTTGCTTGTTAAACTAAAAAACAAAACGTTTAGAAAACTGGTAATGCTATAAGAGCTTTAGGTCGCATGGCTACATTATCTGCTTCCCGCCGTAATTCAGTTGCTTCCAATGCCGGTTCCGTATCCAACAGTCCACGTCCATCCGTATCGGGTGTTACAATTCTTAATCCCAACATATCCGTACAAATGGGTTCACTACACGAGGAAGATGATGATTTCAGCATAGAATTACCCAGTTCTGAGCTGAAGAGAAGAAATCCCACAGTTCTAAACAAATCACAGTGTAGCGAACGTAGTGATTCCGGTTACAGTGAATGTTCAAATTGTAGTGCTTCGGGAACAATACAATGTCAATGTACTACCAATAAAGACAGTGTGGATCAGGTGGCCAATGAAGATATGTCGTTATCTGTGCCACATGATTTACTTAAACTGAAACTGGAAGAAATAGCCCACCAGGCTGATAGTAATATCGAAGAAGTCAAATTGGAATTGGTGGTTCCCAACGAAAAGTGTCCACAACTCGATGATAATCAAAATGAGTTGAAAAGTTTAAACATTGTAAATACAGACGAAAAAGTTATACCCATAGTTGAAGAACAACTAGATGTACTTAATAAAGAACTAAATCCCTCCACTCAACCCATAATGCGTTCGGATTTTACAAATACCATACAAATGCGTAAAAAATCATTGGAGAATAGTTTACAAAAGGATAAACAATTAAAACCAGTGAGTAAATCCATGCTCTTTGAACAGCCGGGTAAAGTAAGCATGCTGAAAAATAAGTTCTCGAATATGCAGAGTCAAGTGAGTAGTAGTTTTAACATAACCACAACAGCGTTTCCCAAAAGCAAGGATTGCATGGATGTTTTGAAATTAAAACGTAAAATTGTTACTGAAGCTTGTCCTAACAAAAGTAATTAAGTTATTTTTTGCTATTAATAAAACAAATAAATTCAAATGTTTCTTTTCTTTAGCAACAAGCTCCTCTACATCGTCCACATCCAGCCTTCATACCCAGCACTCAGCTTCGTTGCCCAACTCTCCCATACCACCACGCAAGACCAATGCGTGTGCTGCGTTCCGGTTAAGCGATCGTGTGCGCGAAGTAACCGATCGTTTGGCTCAACAACAAACTGTTTGTACCGAGGCTAGAAGAACGCAAAAATCTCCATCACCCAATCGAAAGAAAATTGTATCACCGTAAATTAATTATTATTTTAATTTTTTTAATTATTATAAATATTATATAAATAGTGTATTTAAGAAATTTTGTTATTATTAAGTCCCACATAAAACAAAGAAAAATTGTTAAACGTTATTATTTGTAGTTGTTTTTAAATATGAAAAATTATTATTTTATTTAACATGTGAAAAAAAAAAAATGTTACAGAGAAAAATAAAAATCTCGAATATAAGTTGTAAAACCTTCTAATACTATATGAATGAATGATTTGTTCTTTTAATTTATTAATGTAGGTCAGTGTAGGTACATATATAGTCTGTAGACTAGACTAGACTATAGAAAACAATTTCTAGAATGAACTACAGAATGTCTAGACTAGAGTCTAAAAATTGAAACTGAACTAGAACTGAACTAGAACTGAACTAGAACTGAACTAGAACTGAACTAGAACTGAACTAGAACTGAACTAGAACTGAACTAGAAACTGAACTAGAACTGAACTAGAACTGAACTAGAACTGAACTAGAACTGAACTAGAACTGAACTAGAACTGAACTAGAACTGAACTAGAACTGAACTAGAACTGAACTAGAACTAACTGATCTAGAACTGAACTAGAACTGAACTAGAACTGAACTAGAACTGAACTAGAACTGAACTAGAACTGAACTAGAACTGAACTAGAACTGAACTAGAACTGAACTAGAACTGAACTAGAACTGAACTAGAACTGAACTAGAACTGAACTAGAACTGAACTAGAACTGAACTAGAACTGAACTAGAACTGAACTAAAACTGATCTAGAACTGAACTAGAACTGAACTAGAACTGAACTAGAACTGAACTAGAACTGAACTAGAACTGAACTAGAACTGAACTAGAACTGAACTAGAACTGAACTAGAACTGAACTAGAACTGAACTAGAACTAGAACTGAACTAGAACTGAACTAGAACTGAACTAAGAACTAGAACTGAACTAGAACTGAACTAGAACTGAACTAGAACTGAACTAGAACTGAACTAGAACTGAACTAGAACTGAACTAGAACTGAACTAGAACTGAACTAGAACTGAACTAGAACTGAACTAGAACTGAACTAGAACTGAACTAGAACTGAACTAGAACTGAACTAGAACTGAACTAGAACTGAACTAGAACTGAACTAGAACTGAACTAGAACTGAACTAGAACTGAACTAGAACTGAACTAGAACTGAACTAGAACTGAACTAGAACTGAACTAGAACTGAACTAGAACTGAACTAGAACTGAACTAGAACTGAACTAGAACTGAACTAGAACTGAACTAGAACTGAACTAGAACTGAACTAGAACTGAACTAGAACTGAACTAGAACCTGAACTAGAACTGAAACTAGAACTGAACTAGAACTGAACTAGAACTGACTAAACTGAACTAGAACTGAACTAGAACTGAACTAACTGAACTAGAACTGAACTAGAACTGAACTAGAACTGAACTAACTGAACTAGAACTGAACTAGACTGAACTATGAACTAAACTAGAATTCAACTAAGAACTGAACTTGACCCGAATTTGAACTGAACTTTAACTAGAGTTGCACTAGAAGTTATCTAGAACTGACTGTAGGATCTTCGCTCCGAAATGAGTCCAGAGAGAACTATCGGCTACATTCGAACTGTTTACAACAACAAGGATTGAACTATAACTGAACTAGAACTGAAAGACTAGACTATAGACTAGACTATTGACTAAACTATTGACTAGACTATTGACTAGACTATTGACTAGACTATTAACTAGACTATAGACTAGACTATAGACTAGACTATAGACTAGACTATAGACTAGACTATAGACTAGACAATAGACTAGACTATAGACTAGACTATAGACTAGACTATAGACTAGACTATAGACTAGAATATAGACTAGACTATAAACTTGAATATAGACTAGACTATAGACTAGACTATAGACTAGACTATAGACTAGACTATAGACTAGACTATAGACTAGACTATAGACTAGACTATAGACTAGACTATAGACTAGACTATAGACTAGACTATAGACTAGACTATAGACTAGACTATAGACTAGACTATAGACTAGACTATAGACTAGACTATAGACTAGACTATAGACTAGACTATAGACTAGACTATAGACTAGACTATAGACTAGACTATAGACTAGACTATAGACTAGACTATAGACTAGACTATAGACTAGACTATAGACTGGACTATAGACTAGACTATAGACTAGACTATAGACTAGACTATAGACTAGACTATAGACTAGACTATAGACTAGACTATAGACTGGACTATAGACTAGACTATAGACTAGACTATGACTAGACTATAGACTAGACTATAGACTAGACTATAGACTAGACTATAGACTGGACTATAGACTAGACTATAGACTAGACTATAGACTAGACTATAGACTAGACTATAGACTAGACTATAGACTAGACTATAGACTAGACTATAGACTAGACTATAGACTAGACTATAGACTAGACTATAGACTAGACTATAGACTAGACTATAGATTAGACTATAGACTATAGACTAGACTATCGACTAGACTATAGACTAGACTATAGACTATACTATAGACTAGACTATAGACTAGACTATAGGCTAGACTATAGACTAGACTATAGACCAGACTATAGAGTAGACTATCGACTAGACTATAGACTAGTCTAGAGACTAGTCTATCGACTAGACTGTAGACTAGACTATAGACTATACTATAGACTAGACCATAGACTAGACTAAAGACTAGACTATAGACTAGACTATAGACTAGACTATCGACTAGACTATAGACTAGACTATCGACTAGATTAGAATCAATATTGAATTGATATCCGGTTTCCTTTACATATAAGGGCTATTTCCTCTAAACTTTCTAAAGCGCCCTCTATACAATCTTTATTATTACTATGAAACAGAACAACTCTGTCTTCCTCATTATTTAAATATTTCATATCCGTTTCCTTAACTTAAAAGTAAAACAGCTCCATCTACACAATAGTGACAGTAACTTTTTAACATTTAACAATACTGGTTTTGTATTTTTTGTTTACTCTCCTAATCACACATCCCTGCTTTCAGGGGATCTTTATTTCAGTTTTGTTCTATTATCCCGTAAATGTAGTAAGAAAAAATTGCAACAAGTGTGTGACTAGGTATTTTTTGATGAAAAATTTTGTAAATCACTAAAATTAATGAAGATAATTGAAGTTAATTAAAGAAATTAGTGAAATTTCCAAAATAAGTTGAAGAAATTTGTCAAAATTAAAGTTTAAGCAAAGTGTTTACAAATTTCTATTAAACAGGTGTTGCAATTACGCGTACTGTTGTGTGTGTGCAGAAAATAAATAGTGAAATGAATAAATATTTAATGAAAATTTAATCAATTTGTTGTTAAAATTATTAGCAATAGCAAAGCAATTAATTATTGAAACGAAATATGGTGTTTGATGCAATGTGTAGTTAATGGGAATCGTCAATTTTGATGTCAAAAGACATGACGGGCCAATTTTTGGTGAAAATAGGTTGCAAAGTAAATGTGTATTGGTATTTACATATTATGTAGTCAGTCATGGCCAATGTCAATTATCTTCCCTGATTACTCCGGACGGCCGGCCAACAAAACCAGTTGTCGACTGCCTTAAGACGTCAAAAAATTTAGAAATAAAAGAATTCTTAACAAAACAAAGAAAGTCTTTTAAATCAATCCATCAATTCTTCATCGCACACACCTACTACATTGTAATTTTATGATGGTAAGTTTAATTTTAAATTATACTCTTATTACTGAATAGCTATGTCCAGTAATACAGATTTACAAATTTTTGTCAGAATTAGCGAACAAAAACGAGGATTCCACAATATGAAGGGAATATTTTCATACAAATATCATATAAATAACTCATTAGTTAGTTTTTTATAAACATTTTTTCTACTGCTATAATTTTTGCTAAACTTGGTCAAAAAAATTAGTCACTTTTTTAATTTAACATTATTTTATTGAACAAAATGCTGAACAGCTTTCCTTAAACAAAATTTAAAGATTTGTTATATTAGACCCCCTTAACTAATTTCCCCATAAAGTAATTACTGCCACAATAAACTCATCAATGTTAATGGTGGCATGCCAGGTTCAGCGCCTTTTTTAAAACCTTCAAGAAAAACGTAAAAAATCAATCAATATTTTCTTTGAACTACCAAATACATAATAACGTATGTATTGCTTTACTCACCCAAATACAAGACCATTGGCAAGAAACCCCAATGAAATGTGGTCTTGGCAATTTCGTAAACAACTTCTAAACGTTCTTTTATTCCCGGCGATAAGGTCATTTTAAAATTTAATTAATAAATTTCTAAATGTTAGAAAGAATTTATTTGCTTTACAAAATAGTTGTATTTTTTCTTTAGAATTGGAAAAAATTGAAGAAGAAGTGTAAACAGCTGTCTGTGTTTTTGAAATGAAGTTGGCTGCAGTTATTACAGTCAAACACAATTACAACGAAGACTTTTTATTTGTTTAAGGTTCTGATGAAAAGATAACAGGTAATAAAACTAAACATTACGAGCTTATCCTTATTGATTTTTGATTATGAACTATAAAGTCAAATTTGGAGGTCCAGTTATATAAAAGCTATGTGAAATAATGAATCGTTTGCAACTAAAGGTTGCACGTTTAACTAATTTGATTCAATTTCATTTTGAATCGTTTGAAAAACTTTAGTATTTGCAGCGACATTGCCAATTGAAATGCTGTTAATAGTTGTTTTATACTAAAAACCATGATACAACCAGTAAATTGTTATATTATGCTAAAAACAAACTTTTATAAGTAAAGATGTCTTAACACCATTAGGTCTCAAATCTTCCATTATAATACCCATAACTATAAAACGAAAAATATCTTAAATAAATATTTATAAAGCATCAATATTTATTTATATTTGTATCATAATAAACAGACTTAAAACAGAAACAGTATGCAGAAATTGTGCATAATTGCAATTATAAACTACAGTTTCTTTTAAATATTTATTGCCACAACAAACTCATCAATGACAAGGCAGGCATACCGGGTTCAGCACCTTTTTTGAAACCTTTAATTAAAACACAAAGAATAATGATTAAACAACTTTGCCCACAACAATCGTGAATATGCTGTAACAATATAACATGCTGTCTGTGTTTATACTATTTTCAAACTTACCCAAATACAAGACCATGGGTACGAAACCCCAATGGAATGTGGTTTTGGCAATATCGTAGACAATTTCTAAACGTTCTTTAACTTCAGGAGACATGGCCATTTTGAGATTTATTTAAAAAATTTAAGAATTTCCTTTCGAAAAAAATTTAACCTGATTGTGTTAAGAAAAAAATGAGGAAGAGCAAGAATGATAAGTGGTCAGCTGTTTGTATATTAGAGTGAAGTTAGTTGCAGTTTATTTGATGTGGGGGGTTGCCACAGGGTTCAATAATTTTTTATCGATTTGATAAAAGATAGTATCGATTCGTTAAATATTTAATTTTAAAATTGTTATTGAAATTAATAGATAGATAGATAGATAGATAGATAGATAGATAGATAGATAGATAGATAGGTAGATAGATAGATAGATAGATAGATAGATAGATAGATAGATAGATAGATAGATAGATAGATAGATAGATAGATAGATAGATAGATAGATAGATAGATAGATAGATAGATAGATAGATAGATAGATAGATAGATAGATAGATAGATAGATAGATAGATAGATAGATAGTAGGGTGATCGTCTCGATTTTCAACCGGTTTTAAACCGGTTTTTTCTGCTTTACCAGTGTCGGTTTTTTCTTAATGTTGATTTTTCGAATATCGAATAACCCGGTTTTTTCACTTTTTAAAAACCGGTTTCGAATACTTTTATTTCCTTTGTATTCAAAGATTATTTAAATGAAATTTTAAGTAAATAATAATACAGCTAAATTTTAAAAATATTTGAGTCGAGGAACTAGCGTATATTTTTCTAAAGCTCCTTTGGTTAAACTTTTTTGATTTTCCTAATTAATTAAAAAAATTTATTTGTAAAATTGATAACTGTTTGATAAAATTTTATCAATCTTAAGATTATATTCCAATTACAATAATTAATTTACGGCTGAAATTTTATGGAAGTGTTGGAATGCCTATGCAAATTTCATAAACAGGGCTTTTAAAATAAGCTAGGATTACATAGTACCTTATGTTAAACAGAAGTGTCCCACTTTTTTCCTAATTTTTATACCCACCATCAAAAAAGATGGGGGGTATATTGATTTTGTCATTCCGTTTGTAACACATCGAAATATTGGTCATAGACCCATAAAAGTATATATATTCCGGGTCCTTATTAAATTCTAAGACGATCTAGCCATGTCCGTCCGTCTGTCCGTCCGTCTGTCTGTTGAAATCACGATAGGGACCACACGAGAGGAGCTAGACAGTTGAAATTTTGCATAAATATTCTGTATTGTTAAGGTTTGTTTGGTATTGAAAATGGGCAATATCGGTCCACTTTTTCGGATAGCCCCCATACAAGTGGACCTCCAAAAAACAGCTTTAAACGGGCATAACTGTTTTATAAGTAGGAGTATAGTGATGAAATTCGACATAAAGAAGTTTAATGTGAGCCAAAACCTCTGTACCAATTTTTTTGGATCGGCCCATAAATGACCCTTCCCCCATATAAGGTCCCCCTCTGCAAATAACTACAATGCTCATTACTGGCTTAAAAATATGAATGTGACGAAAATTGACGCACATAAGTTTAATGCGTGCCAAAATCTCTCCACCAAATTTAGGGAGGATCGGTCCATAATTTAATTTTCAGAAAATTACTTAAACGATCATTACTGGCTTAAAAATATGAGTTATGAAATACGGTTATGAAATTCTCTCCGAATTTCATGCGGAATGTGTTGGTAATACACAAAAGGTTCCCTTCAGGAAAGAGTTTTGGTGTTCCTTATTTAAAATACGAGTATAGCGCTGAAATTTTGCATAAACAAGTCCTATACATAATCTATGTACAAAATTTTATGAGTATCGGTTCATAATTGACGCTCACGGTTTAAGAATTGAAATAAAATATTTGTTTTTTTTTTAATTAATATTTTGGTAGTTCAAAAGAGCTCTGGCCATAATTGACTTAAGCCATATTCCAAATATCACCCTGATGTTTATAGGGGAGCATTCCTTTTACGGCATACGGTTTGATGGTCGGTATATGAGATTCGGCACAGCCGAATATAACACTCTTACTTGTTTTATATTAATGAAATAATGTAAATCAGATGACTAGATCTATAGTTATAATCTCTTAAACTGTTAAAATCATTTCGGGCCATGTTTTATTAATCAAATTTAAACATAAACATTAAGTTTTTCAAATTAAAATATATTTTTTTTTATATAATGAAAAACCGGTTAACCGGTTTTTTCTGAATTTGAAAAAAATCAACCGGTTTTTTTAAATGTCAACTATTCGAATTATTCGAAAACCGATTTTTGGAAAATGTCGAATTATCGATCACCCTAATAGATAGATAGATAGATAGATAGATAGTAGATAGATAGATAGATAGATAGATAGATAGATAGATAGATAGAAGATGATAGATAGATAGATAGATAGATAGATAGATAGATAGATAGATAGATCTCTCCGCTCGCTCGCTCGCTCGCTCGCTCGCTCGCTCGCTCGCTCGCTCGCTCGCTCGCTCGCTCGCTCGCTCGCTCGCTCGCTCGCTCGCTCGCTCGCTCGCTCGCTCGCTCGCTCGCTCGCTCGCTCGCTCGCTCGCTCGCTCCTCGCTCGCTCGCTCGCTCGCTCGCTCGCTCGCTCGCTCGCTCTCTCGCTCGCTCGCTCGCTCGCTCGCTCGCTCGCTCGCTCGCTCGCTCGCTCGCTCGCTCGCTCGCTCGCTCGCTAGCTCGCTCGCTGCTCGCTCGCTCGCTCGCTCGCTCGCTCGCTCGCTCGCTCGCTCGCTCGCTCGCTCGCTCGCTCGCTCGCTCGCTCGCTCGCTCGCTCGCTCGCTCGCTCGCTCGCTCCTCGCTCGCTCGCGCTCGCTCGCTCGCTCGCTCGCTCGCTCGCTCGCTCGCTCGCTCGCTAGCTCGCTCGCTCGCTCGCTCGCTCGCTCGCTCGCTCGCTCGCTCGCTCGCTCTCTCGCTAGCTCCTCGCTCGCTCGCTCGCTCGCTCGCTCGCTCGCTCGTCGCTCGCTAGCTCGCTCGCTCGCTCGCTCGCTCGCTCGCTCGCTGCTCGCTCGCTCGCTCGCTCGCTCGCTCGCTCGCTCGCTCGCTCGCCTCTCGCTCGCCCTCGCTCGCTCGCTCGCTCGCTCCTCGCTCGCTCGCTCGCTCGCTCGCTCGCTCGCTCGCTCGCTCGCTCGCTCGCTCGCTCGCTCGCTCCTCGCTCGGCTCGCTCGCTCGCTCGCTCGCTCGCTCGCTCGCTCGCTCGCTCGCTCGCTCGCTCGCTCGCTCGCTCGCTCGCTCGCTCGCTCGCTCGCTCGCTCGCTCGCTCGCTCGCTCGCTCGCTCGCTCCGCTCGCTCGCTCGCTCGCTCGCTCGCTCGCTCGCTCGCCTCGCTCGCTCCTCGCTCGCTCGCTCGCTCAGCTCGCTCGCTCGCTCGCTCGCTCGCTCGCTCGCTCGCTCGTCGGTACGCTCGCTCGCTCGCTCGCTCTCCTCGCTCGCTCGCCTCGCTCGCTCGCCGCTCGCTCGCTCGCTCGCTCGCTCGCTCGCTCGCTCGCTCGCTCGCTCTCGCCCTTCTCCTTCCCGTTGCCCCTCCTCCTCCGTTCTCCCCTCTGTTTCGTCCTTCTTTCCCCTCTTTTCTTATTCGCTTCCGTTTTCTCCCCCGCCCCTTTTCCCACCACTTTCCCTTACGTTTCGCGCCCCATTTTATCTGTTTGGCGTTTTTTTCCACAAAAACATACCCAAATAGTATAAACCAATCAATACACCCAGAACTACTAACGATCTGAGATAACTGTAAAATTTTAAGTCTGCTAAATGTAATTCATTTAAAGGCATTCCAAGACCTTGAGTTTTTAAAGGACCATTGCCATAGCGATCAATATAATCTAACCAAAACATGGCATTGGCTAAACCACCTAATGGTCTATCACGAAAAACTTTCGAAATATCTCTTATGTTAAGAACAAAAAATTCCTTGTGTAAAATAGTTTCCAAAGCCCAGTCTAGGGAAGATTCGGTAAGATTTGTATAATCAACACGCACACCAATTTGTAACTTCTCAGCCAGCACTACATTTTCCATTTCATTCTTGAAAAGTGGCAATCCTAGCAATGGCACATGACGTATGATGCTCTCCTGCAAACCCATGATATCGCCATTCATTATAAATAAACGTATATGGGGATGAGCTAGAATATCAGTTTGTGGTACTAAATGTTGAATCATCATATTTTTGGGAAGGCCTTCCATTTTCTGTACATCATGGCAAGTCCATAATATGCGTTCTTGTCGTTTACCCAAGACATGGAAAAGTACGTCGAGTTTTTCTTTGGGTATATCAGCACAAAGTTTTTCATCACCCAAATGCATGTATATGGCACCAAAACGAGCTTCATCGAGGAAACGTCTAATATGCCAGGGTAGTTCTTTGGGAGCTCTAATATGTAAACCACCCACTGGTATAATATTAGGAATTGAAGGTTTTGGCGTAGCTAAGGGGTAATAGTTGTTGACTAATAGTAAAGCTAGATTTGCCTGTAGATCCATTATTGAGGGCATGGAACCTGGAAAAAAATCAATAAACCGTTAATATAGTTTGGTTTTTTATGTATCGCTTTTGTTAAACTTACTTTTGAAATGTTTTTAATAACTTTTTCCTGTCTGCCATAATGATCATAGACAAAACTTTCTCTACGAGCTAGACAGGACTTTATATTAGCCAATCTTTGCCAGTAACCCAAATTTCTATCATAAGCTTTCAAATCATAAGGTAAACAAGCCGAGGGTACCATTACATCTTGTATCTGTTCCATATAATTGGCAAAGTCAGTATTCACTACACCTATTACGGGAACACTGAAATAATGCCCTAAAGCTAATAGAGCTTCAGAATAGAAGAGATCCACTATAATCATATCGTAGTCAAAGTCATCGACAGGGGTTTTTAATAGTTCCTGCATTTTAACATTCGATAAAAAGTAATCCATAAGTGACTGACCAGCAGCTGCTAAATGGGTATTCAGTTTATCATTGTTTAGGGCACTAAGCGCTGGCAAATCCTTAACACCCGCCTGTTTTTGCACTAGATGTAAAGAAAATTTTAAAATTTTTATTTTTTTATGTGAAATTATATATCTCACCTTCTTTCCAGAAAGGAAATTCTGGTTCTATTATGTTTTCTTTTAGATTGTCTAAACGATCATCTAAACGATGACTACTGTAGAGGGTAACATTATGTTCCTTCTTGGCCAATTCCATCATAAATGTTCTCATTACCACGAAATGACTTTCACTGGCATGTGGAAATATGCCCAATATTTTAGCTCCATTTGTTGAGCCCATTAGAAGTAATGCTATTATTAGCCATTTTAGTAGTTGTTGATGTATTATCTGAAATTTTTTGAATTCATTAACAAAGATATCAAAGTATAATATCCAAGTTTTCGAGATATCGTGTCCTTAAACTCGAAAAATCCTGATTTTGGCGCGAACACATATTTATTTAAAAAATTTGTGGTTTTCAACTTTAGGGTTAAGATATCTCGAAATAAGAAGAAGATATAACAGAGGCTAAACCTTTACTTTAGAGTCGACAGAATGGACTTTAAGAATGGAATGGACTTTTATAAATTAAAATGCCTTAGCGCTGTTATAACGTCTCAAATATGTCTTAAAAATGGGTTTTTGCAACATTTATGTGATTGATTAATTCTGATTCGGATAATAATCGGGTTTAACGTAGCTCAAGATACTATTATTTTATGAAACATTTAGTGCGCTTTCGTTGGCAAAATTATTTTCCTTTAAATCAAATCAATTCGAGATTGTATAGTCTATGTTAGGACATTGCAAATTCCTAATGAATTTCGACATTATCACGTTCGAAGTGAAAGTCTTGAGTTCCCGTCAATGTATATTTAGATCGACTGAATTTCGGATGCTTTATAGGTAATAGTGACATATTTGGTTGACTTATTTGGCTCCTGTCATTTTCGAGAGGAAAGAAAACCTGAACCGGAAAGGGAATGGTCTTAACAATTCTTTCACACTTTGAAATGTCACTCTTTGCTACTTATACACGGTTCAGAACCATCTTCTATAGCGGCTACATAGTACGCGTAATTTTTGTTTGATTTTAACGTCCAACAAAACGGATATACTATATGTCCTATTTAAGCCGATTAGGTCTTTTCTTTGGGGTAACATAAAATCGCTGACCTAATCCAACAACGCCAGATCTAATCCGGTCGTAAATCGAACTAGTATTTCTACCGATTTGTTTGCTCGAGTCTAAAAAGTTGGGTTCTGATATCGTTATTATATTTTCATGTATTGTTTCGGAATTTAGCTCATATCATATGGACCGATTTTACTGATTTTAAATATGAAACTTCTTGAATGCAAATTGTTTACTGCTGCCTTAACCTTCTCCCTTATAAAAGATTCATAATAGATGCTAAGAATGTGTGACTCTATGTTCAGAATAACTGTATTGCAGTCTACACTGATGGATCTAATTCTAAGGGAGGTGGGTTCTATATAATTTTAGAAAGAAAGTATGTTTCAATCGGCATAATGAATGCAGCATCCTCCAGGCTAAGGAATCGGTCATCAAACGTCCGATAAACTGGATGAGATACTATAGGATATACGTTGGAAATATCCGAATTTGTAAGTACTGTCAGTAAACCAGCGATTAGATCTCTATTTCTAATGTCTACACCACATCTAGTTTGGTTCGTAAATATCGTATATCTCTTAATACGACGAGCTGTTCTGAGTATCGAGTTACTCTAATATACCTGGTAATGATAATGGGGACGAACTGGCAAAAAGTGGTTCCCGCCCCGAAAGGAACATTGAACTCTATTAAGTGTCCCGCTCTCGTGCTGTTAAAAACTTATTCAGCAGAAACTATACAAGTCTACCCAGATGGGATGGTCAACAACATCCACCTGTTCGATAGAGACGCTTACTTGGTCACTCTATAATAAGCCAAGGTCGTTGTCAGTGATAGGGCTTTCACGTGTGCGTTTAAGGCTACTGACAGCCACGATGACAGGTCATTGGTTTGTAGGAGAGTATGCTAGGAGATTAAATCTTCCATATAAAGACTCCTACAGAAGTTGCAATAATGAGCACGTTAATGTTCGAAAGATAGATTCCTTCATACGTTTCGCATGTTGATTTACAACGTTACCTACCAAAGACAAGGTTTAGATCCGTTCGGATAGCACAAGGGGAGCTATTCTGGAGCCAAGTAAGTTAGCTGACTGCCTTTAAAACCTAGCCATGTCTCATATAATTATATTAGATTTGGATACCGAATATATCTGGGTTCTTCATTCACATTTTAATAAACAAATTGTTAGACAGACATAGCTCAATCGGCTTCGCTACCTATACGGATCTAGAATATACATATATACTTTGTAGGGTAAAATTATGTTTGTAGAAACAACAAACGAAATTATACCTTTTCAGGAAGGGTTTATAAGTATAAGCACTTCTTACGAAGGTAAAAACACGAATTGTATGTAAAATGGACAAAATCGGTCCACATTTGACCCTAGCCCTCGTATAACTTGTTGAAAATACAATTAAGGTTATAAATCTTGTCATAAATACGTTTTTTTATCAACCAAAACCTCTCTTTCAGTCCATTATTGATCCTGTTATCTGCGTTATAACTCTCTTACACCTTGTTCCCAATAACTCGTTTAAAAATCAAGGTATTGAGAGAAATTCAACAACGAATTATTATAAGAAATCCATCACTCTCTAGTATTATGATGAATTAGGACCATAAATCAGCCAAGTCCCCATAAAAGGCGGTTAATAATAATGTCACTAAACATATGACATGTTTTAATAGTGGGTATATAAGTCACTCTTATCGTAATTTGGCAGACATATGACTAGACATTGCTACATTATTTTGGAACTTTAATAACCTTGAATATTGCATTCTTATACCTTTGTAGCGTTATTACCCTGTTCATATTTTCAGTACACATAAAAGTTTAAAAGGCCCTAATGTGTTCGATCAAGTGTAAACTTATTAAACGTGGGAAATAACATTGATACTTTAACACAATTTTAATGGCGCCTTGACATCTTAATAAAATGTCACCGGAACATAACAAAATGATTGGGACACATCATTTCTATCTACAAGTACAATTGTCGTATTGTTCTTATATATTTCAATATAAAAAGTCTTATCACCAAATATTTTATTTTAAAAATATGAACACGACCATGATTTGTTTAAACTTTAAAGACTTTTCTAATTTGAATTTAATTATATTTTTTTTAATATGTAAGTTTCCAGAATTTTTATTATTTGCTCGTCGTACCAAATGAAATTTATGTTGCTGCATTTTGTTGTAGTGGGGTGGGCAGTGCACTTTTTTCTACTTTTTTCTAATAAGAAATTGTTTGTGTTTTTTGTAGGAATTACTATTTGTTCATGTATAAGATCACATCTGCTTTCCGGCTTTTTTTTTTTTTTATTTATTTCTTTAATGAATGAATGTATATAAAGATTTGTTGTTATTGTTTATGAATCTGTTTTTAATTCATTCATATATATATACACAATTTATTTTCTAGAACTAATTTGTTTGTCGTTTTTTTCACTTGTTTAACTTATGGTTTCGCATTCTAGACTGATTCCATTCAGAACTTTACAGTAGCTGTAGAGTCCATCTGAAAAAGAATTGTTTTCATTAAATATCAATTGTTTAGTTGTTTCAGTGTATGCTCCATGAATAATATGCTCGTAACATGAATAAAAAATTGTGCAAGTATCTTTGAGGTTTTATGGAAATTGAGAGTATTATATTTGGGGAGCATTATTATGTTTGTGCGGATTAAATGGCAATTTTTTCTATATGAAGAACTACATATTCTCATTTCTTCTCTTGGTCATTAGGAAAAAAATTGCTGAGCTTTTGTAATATGAAGAATTGTGTTTACTTTTTGAAAAAGAAAACCAAAAGATTGTTTTAAAATATGAATCTACAGACAGCTTGCAAATACAGAGGCGTAGCTCCCACTAAATATCGATTTTTATATAGGAAAACTAAAATCGGCTGTAGTTTCTTAAATAACGCTCCAATCAAGAAAATAGTGAAAATCTGTGATCACTCATATTTCCCACTAAAAATCGATTTTTATATGGGAAAACTAAAATCGGCTGTAGTTTCTTAAATATGGCTCCAATCAAGAAAATAGTGAAAATCTGTGATCACTCATATTTCCCACTAAAAATCGATTTTTATATGGGAAAACTTAAATCGGCTGTAGTTTCTTAAATATGGCTCCAATCAAGAAAATAGTGAAAATCTGTGATCACTCATATTTCCCACTAAAAATCGATTTTATATGGGAAAACTTAAATCGGCTGTAGTTTCTTAAATATGGCTCCAATCAAGAAAATAGTGAAAATCTGTGATCACTCATATTTCCCACTAAAAATCGATTTTTATATGGGAAAACTAAAATCGGCTGTAGTTTCTTAAATATGGCTCCAATCAAGAAAATAGTGAAAATCTGTGATCACTCATATTTCCCACTAAAAATCGATTTTATATGGGAAAACTAAAATCGGCTGTAGTTTCTTAAATATGGCTCCAATCAAGAAAATAGTGAAAATCTGTGATCACTCATATTTCCCACTAAAAATCGATTTTTATATGGGAAAACTTAAATCGGCTGTAGTTTCTTAAATATGGCTCCAATCAAGAAAATAGTGAAAATCTGTGATCACTCATATTTCCCACTAAAAATCGATTTTTATATAGGAAAACTAAAATCGGCTGTGTTTCTTAAAAAACGCTCTAATCAAGAAAATAGTGAAAATCTGTGATCACTCATATTTCCCACCAAAAATCGATTTTTATATGGGAAAACTAAAATCGGCTGTAGTTTCTTAAATAACGCTCTAATCAAGAAAATAGTGACAATCTGTGATCACTCATATTTCCCACTAAAAATCGATTTTTTTTATAAGAAAACTAAAATCGGCTGTAGTTTCTTAAATATGGCTCCAATCAAGAAAATAGTGAAAATCTGTGATCACTTATATTTCCCACTAAAAATCGATTTTATATGAGAAAACTAAAATCGGCTGTAGTTTCTTTAATATCGCTCCAATCAAGAAAATAGTGAAAATCTGTGATCACTCATATTTTCCACTAAAAATCGATTTTTATATGGGAAAACTTAAATCGGCTGTAGTTTCTTAATATGGCCCCAATCAAGAAAATAGTGAAAATCTGTGATCACTCATATTTCCCACCAAAAATCGATTTTTATATAGGAAAACTAAAATCGGCTGTAGTTTCTTAAATAACGCTCTAATCAAGAAAATAGTGAAAATCTGTGATCACTCATATTTCCCACTAAAAATCGATTTTTATATGGGAAAACTAAAATCGGCTGTAGTTTCTTAAATAACGCTCTAATCAAGAAAATAGTGAAAATCTGTGATCACTCATATTTCCCACTAAAAATCGATTTTTATATGGGAAAACTAAAATCGGCTGTAGTTTGTTAAATAACGCTCCAATCAAGAAAATAGTGAAAATCTGTGATCACTCATATTTCCCACTAAAAATCGATTTTTATATAAGAAAACTAAAATCGGCTGTAGTTTCTTAAATAATGCTCCAATCAAGAAAATAGTGAAAATCTGTGATCACTCATATTTCCCACTAAAAATCGATTTTTATATGGGAAAACTAAAATCGTCTGTAGTTTCTTTAATAACACTCCAATCAGAAAATAGTGAAAATCTGTGATCACTCATATTCCCCACTAAAAATCGATTTTTATATACGATCGATTTTTATATAGGAAAACTAAAATCGGCTGTAGTTTCTTAAATAACGCTCTAATCAAGAAAATAGTGAAAATCTGTGATCACTCATATTTCCCACTAAAAATCGATCTTTATATAAGAAAACTAAAATCGGCTGTAGTTTCTTAAATAACGCTCCAATCAAGAAAATAGTGAAAATCTGTGATCACTCATATTTCCCACTAAAAATCGATTTTTATATGGGAAAACTAAAATCGGCTGTAGTTTCTTTAATATAGCTCTAATCAAGAAAATAGTGAAAATCTGTGATCACTCATATTTCCCACTAAAAATCGATTTTTATATAGGAAAACTAAAATCGGCTGTAGTTTGTTAAATAACGCTCCAATCAAGAAAATATTGAAAATCTGTGATCACTCATATTTCCCACTAAAAATCGATTTTTATATAAGAAAACTAAAATCGGCTGTAGTTTCTTAAATATCGCTCCAATCAAGAAAATAGTGAAAATCTGTGATCACTCATATTCCCCACTAAAAATCGATTTTTATATGGGAAAACTAAAATCGGCTGTAGTTTCTTAAATATCGCTCCAATCAAGAAAATAGTGAAAATCTGTGATCACTCATATTTCCCACTAAAAATCGATTTTTATACGGGAAAACTAAAATCGGCTGTAGTTTCTTTAATAAGGCTCCAATCAAGAAAATAGTGAAAATCTGTGATCACTCATATTTCCCACTAAAAATCGATTTTTATATAGGAAAACTAAAATCGGCTGTAGTTTCTTTAATAAGGCTCCAATCAAGAAAATAGTGAAAATCTGTGATCACTCATATTTCCCACTAAAAATCGATTTTTATATGAGAAAACTAAAATCGGCTGTAGTTTCTTTAATAAGGCCCCAATCAAGAAAATAGTGAAAATCTGTGATCACTCATATTTCCCACTAAAAAATCGATTTTTATATGGGAAAACTAAAATCGGCTGTAGTTTCTTAAATAACGCTCCAATCAAGAAAATAGTGAAAATCTGTGATCACTCATATTTCCCACTAAAAATCGATTTTTATATAAGAAAACTAAAATCGGCTGTAGTTTCGTAAATATGGCTCCAATCAAGGAAATATTGAAAATCTGTGATTACTCATATTTCCCACTAAAAATCGATTTTTATATAGGAAAACTAAAATCGGCTGTAGTTTCTTTAATAAGGCTCCAATCAAGGAAATAGTGAAAATCTGTGATCACTCATATTTCCCACTAAAAATCGATTTTTATATAAGAAAACTAAAATCGGCTGTAGTTTCTTAAATATGGCTCCAATCAAGAAAATATTGAAAATCTGTGATTACTCATATTTCCCACTAAAAATCGATTTTTATGTAGGAAAACTAAAATCCGCTGTAGTTTCTTTAATAAGGCTCCAATCAAGGAAATAGTGAAAATCTGCGATCACTCATATTTCCCACTAAAAATCGACTTTTATATGACAAAACTAAAATCGGCTGTAGTTTCTTAAATATCGCTCCAATCAAGAAAATAGTGAAAATCTGCGATCACTCATACTTCCCACTAAAAATCGATTTTTATATGGGAAAACTAAAATCGGCTGTAGTTTCTTAAATATCGCTCTAATCAAGAAAATAGTGAAAATCTGTGATCACTCATATTTCCCACTAAAAATCGATTTTTATATGGGAAAACTAAAATCGGCTGTAGTTTCTTAAATATCGCTCCAATCAAGAAAATAGTGAAAATCTGTGATCACTCATATTTCCCACTAAAAATCGATTTTTATATGACAAAACTAAAATCGGCTGTAGTTTCTTAAATATCGCTCCAATCAAGAAAATAGTGAAAATCTGTGATCACTCATATTTCCCACTAAAAATCGATTTTTATATGACAAAACTAAAATCGGCTGTAGTTTCTTTAATATCGCTCTAATCAAGAAAATAGTGAAAATCTGTGATCACTCATATTTCCCACTAAAAATCGATTTTTATATGACAAAACTAAAATCGGCTGTAATTTCTTAAATATGGCTCTAATCAAGAAAATAGTGAAAATCTGTGATCACTCATATTTCCCACTAAAAATCGATTTTTATATAAGAAAACTAAAATCGGCTGTAGTTTCTTAAATAACGCTCTACTCAAGAAAATAGTGAAAATCTGTGATCACTCATATTTTCCACTAAAAATCGATTTCTATATGGGAAAACTAAAATCGGCTGTAGTTTCTTTAATAAGGCTCCAATCAAGAAAATAGTGAAAATCTGTGATCACTCATATTTCCCACTAAAAATCGATTTTTATATGGGAAAACTAAAATCGGCTGTAGTTTCTTAAATATGGCTCTAATCAAGAAAATAGTGAAAATCTGTGATCACTCATATTTTCCACTAAAAATCGATTTTTATATGGGAAAACTAAAATCGGCTGTAGTTTCTTTAATAAGGCCTCAATCAAGAAAATAGTGAAAATCTGTGATCACTCATATTTTCCACTAAAAATCGATTTTTATATGGGAAAACTAAAATCGGCTGTAGTTTCTTAATTATGGCTCTAATCAAGAAAATAGTGAAAATCTGTGATCACTCATATTTTCCACTAAAAATCGATTTTTATATGGGAAAACTAAAATCGGCTGTAGTTTCTTAAATATGGCTCTAATCAAGAAAATAGTGAAAATCTGTGATCACTCATATTTCCCACTAAAAATTGATTTTTATATGGGAAAAACTAAAATCGGCTGTAGTTTTCTTAAATAAGGCTCCAATCAAGAAAATAGTGAAAATCTGTGATCACTCATATTTCCCACTAAAAATCGATTTTTATATGGGAAAACTAAAAGCGGCTGTAGTTTCTTTAATATAGCTCTAATCAAGAAAATAGTGATAATCTGTGATCACTCATATTTCCCACAAAAAATCGATTTTTATATGGGAAAACTAAAATCGGCTGTAGTTTCTTTAATAAGGCTCCAATCAAGAAAATAATGATAATCTGTGATCACTCATATTTTCTACTAAAAATCGATTTTTATATGGGAAAACTAAAATCGGCTGTAGTTTCTTTAATATAGCTCTAATCAAGAAAATAGTGAAAATCTGTGATCACTCATATTTCCCACTAAAAATCGATTTTATATGGGAAAACTAAAATCGGCAGTAGTTTCTTTAAAAAGGCTCTAATCAAGAAAATAGTGAAAATCTGTGATCAGTCATATTTCCCACTAAAAATCGATTTTTATATGGGAAAACTAAAATCGGCTGTAGTTTCTTTAATATAGCTCTAATCAAGAAAATAGTGATAATCTGTGATCACTCATATTTCCCACAAAAAATCGATTTTTATATGGGAAAACTAAAATCGGCTGTAGTTTCTTAATAAGGCTCCAATCAAGAAAATAATGATAATCTGTGATCACTCATATTTTCTACTAAAAATCGATTTTTATATGGGAAAACTAAAATCGGCTGTAGTTTCTTTAATATAGCTCTAATCAAGAAAATAGTGAAAATCTGTGATCACTCATATTTTCCCACTAAAAATCGATTTTTATATGGGAAAACTAAAATCGGCAGTAGTTTCTTTAAAAAGGCTCTAATCAAGAAAAATAGTGAAAATCTGTGATCACTCATATTTCCACTAAAAATCGATTTTATATAGGAAAACTAAAATCGGCTGTAGTTTCTTAAATATGGCTCCAATCAAGAAAATAGTGAAAATCTGTGATCACTTATATTTCCCACTAAAAATCGATTTTTATATGGGAAAACTAAAATCGGCTGTAGTTTCGTAAATAACGCTCTAATCAAGAAAATAGTGAAAATCTGTGATCACTCATATTTCCCACTAAAAATCGATTTTTATATAGGAAAACTAAAATCGGAAAGAGCGAAAATCTGTGATCACTCATATTTCCCACTAAAAATCGATTTTATATGGGAAAACTTAAATCGTCTGTAGTTTCTTAAATAACGCTCTAATCAAGAAAATAGTGAAAATCTGTGATCACTCATATTTCCCACTAAAATCGATTTTTATATAAGAAAACTAAAATCGGCTGTAGTTTCTTAAATAACGCTCCAATCAAGAAAATAGTGAAAATCTGTGTTCACTCATATTTCCCACTAAAAATCGATTTTTATATGGGAAAACTTAAATCTGCTGTAGTTTCTTAAATATGGCTCCAATCAAGAAAATAGTGAAAATCTGTGATCACTCATATTTCCCACTGAAAATCGATTTTTATATGGGAAAACTAAAATCGGCTGTAGTTTCTTAAATAACGCTCCAATCCAGAAAATAGTGAAAATCTGTGATCACTCATATTTCCCACTAAAAATCGATTTTTATAGAGGAAAACTAAAATCAGCTGTAGTTTCTTTAATATCGTTCTAATCAAGAAAATAATGAAAATCTGTGATCACTCATATTTCCTACTAAAAATCGATTTTTATCTAGGAAAACTAAATCGGCTGTAGTTTCTTAAATATGGCTCTAAGCAAGAAAATACTGATAACCTGTGATCACTCATATTTCCCACTAAAAATCGATTTTTATATAGGAAAACTAAAATCAGCTGTAGTTTCTTTAATATCGTTCTAATCAAGAACTGTGATCACTCATATTTCCCACTAAAAAATCGATTTTTATATGGGAAAACTTAAATCGGCTGTAGTTTCTTAAATATGGCTCTTATCAAGAAAATACTGATAACCTGTGATCACTCATATTTCCCACTAAAAACGATTTTTATATGGGAAAACTAAAATCGGCTGTAGTTTCTTTAATATTGTTCTAATCAAGAAAATAGTGAAAATCTGTGATCACTCATATTTCCCCCTAAAAATCGATTTTTATATAGGAAAACTAAAATCGGCTGTAGTTTCTTAAATATGGCCCCAACCGAGAAAATAGTGAAAATCTGTGATCACTCATATTTCCCACTAAAAATCGATTTTTATATGGGAAAACTTAAATCGACTGTAGTTTCTTACATATGGCTCTAATCAAGAAAATAGTGAAAATCTGTGATCACTCATATTTCCCACTAAAAATCGATTTTTATATAAGAAAACTAAAATCGGCTGTAGTTTCTTTTATAAGGCTTTAATCAAGAAAATAGTAAAAATCTGTTATCACTCATATTTTAATGAAAAAACCTTAACTTGAATATCTAATTCAAATTTAACGGTTGAATTTATTTATACGCACTAAACCCAAAAAATTACTCACCACTAGCCAGTGTTGAAATTGTGGTGTAAATAAAATGGTACTTTTTGTGTTGTTTTAAATTCTCTCTTTGTGGATTTATATTAATAACTGTGGTCACAAGTCGAACATGAAGCATTTATCAAACAACTTTGTTAAAGAATAGGGGGCGATTTCACTTAAATTAACTTAGACCATTATCCTTTTTTAAATGTTAGAAAATATGTAGGTACCTATTATGTTCCAAACTTTTGAAATAATGTAATAACTATGTAGGGTGCAATAAATGACTAAAGCAGTTTTAAAATGGCGGTTGTTAGCTTTCAAACTGCAGGGAATTTAAATATTTGCAATAAACATTAAGATTTTTTTTTAATAAATACATACATACATACATATGTTTGTGTGTGTGTATGTTAATAAATTTATTATTTCAATCACGATTTATTAGCGTATTTTTGACAACAACTAAATCAATAAAATAGTAACCAAAATAGAACAAATTGACAGACAAATAAGTTAAAACAAACAAACATGAAGAAAAAAGACAAAATCACTTAAAACAACAAAGAAACAAGAAACTTAAATAAAACCTAAAAAGGCAGATGTTAAGAGAATTCGCAAATGTTAACAATAATTTCGAAACAGGTTTGAAAATCAACAAAAGGGAACAAGGGAAAAGAGGGAATATGTATAAACACAAACAATTGATATTTATTAATAAAGGTCTTCGAAGGCAACAGGTCGAATAGCAGTGGTGGAAACTATGCAACAACATTTTATACACGTCTCTTACGGTTCAATGACTTTTATCATCGATCATCGCACAAACTTAAAGTTTAAAATAAAATTCACAAAATTTAACTTTAGTTTGAGATTTAATTTCAGGTTTTTTATTACTTTCTTTTCATTTGAATTTCAAATTATTTTCTCAGTTCTAAACGAACTATTTAGAAAAAAACTAAAAAACAATGGGAAGACCCTCTTAATAATTAATGAGAATTAAATGCAACAATGTGTTTTTTACCCTAGTTATAAACTGGTTTTCTTTTTTTGTATCTTCTTTTTTTTCAATTAATTCTATAATATATAATTTCATTTATTATTATTATTATTATTAAAACAGATCTTAATTTTTGCAAATATTCTTAAACATGAAAACTTAAATAATAAACATCTGCTGTTTGTTAAAAGCTGCTAATTACTCTCTCACAGAATCTATTCAGTAGCATCAGCCTTAGCTACCGAAAATGGTTCGGGCACTGGCAAAGAACCACTGTTGGCAATAACAACATCCTTAGTGGGACGATCACGGCCATCAGTGCTAACCTTTTCGATTTTACGTACAACATCCATGCCAGACAATACCTTGCCGAAGACAACATGACGACCATCCAACCAGGAAGTGGGTTTGGTGGTAATGAAGAATTGTGAACCGTTAGTATCTTTGCCAGCATTGGCCATGGACAACCAACCAGCACCATAATGCTTAAGCTTGAAGTTCTCATCTTCGAAACGTTCACCGTAGATGGAACGGCCACCAGTGCCATCACCACGTGTGAAATCACCACCTTGAATCATGAAATCCTTAATGACGCGATGGAATTTGCTGCCTACATAACTGTAAATTTTAAAGAATATAAGGCGCATATTAAAATAACTTATTTATTTAATCGAAATTTATTAGTTAATAGATATACAAAGGAGATTTTTATTATTCTTGCTTTATTGATTTGAAAAACAAATTTGCAATTGAGTTGAATGCACTTGCAAATCATGCATTTGTATGTAAATGTTTAAAAGTTGTAAAGAAGTGTTTTTTTGTTTATTCATTTACTTCCATATGTACATAAATGAATGACTATACTTTTTCTATGTTCATTATAATTACTGGGCACAATTCCAGCATTCCCTTTTTATATTTATTTTAGCAATAAGTTTTTATGCGTTTAAATATTTCGCCGCCGCTGCTATTGTGTTTTTGTTTAATTACAATTGCAACTACGTAAGCATTTTAGAGACATTTTCTTTGTAATACACTCTCTCATTAGTAATTTAACCCATAGTTATGAAACGAAACTCATTTGATCTGTCAAATTGAATTGCAGATATCTCATAAGACTTGCATAGTAATTAAGGGCTCAATTTAGTTCCAGTTCAGTTTCTAGTTTAGTTCTAGTTTAGTTCTAGTTGAGTTCTAGTTCAGTTCTAGTTCAGTTCTAGTTAAGGGGCTCAATTTAGTCTAGTTCAGTGGTAGTTTAGTTCTAGTTGAGTTCTAGTTCAGTTCAAGTTCAGTTCTAGTTCATTCTAGTTCAGTTCTAGTTCAGTTCTAGTTCAGTACTAGTTCAGTTCTAGTCAGTTTCTTAGTTCAGTTCATAGTTCAGTTCTAGTGCAGTTCTATTTCAGTTCTAGTTCAGTTCTAGTTCGAGTTCTGAGTTCAGTTCTAGTTCAGTTCTAGTTTCAGTTCTAGTTCAGTCCTAGTTCAGTTCTAGTCAGTTCTAGTTCAGTTCTAGTTCAGTTCTAGTTCAGTTCTAGTTCAGTTCTAGTTCAGTTCTAGTTCAGTTCTAGTTCAGTTCTAGTTCAGTTCTAGTTCAGTTCTAGTTCAGTTCTTAGTTCAGTTTCTAGTTCAGTTCTAGTTCAGTTCTAGTTCAGTTCTAGTTCAGTTCTAGTTCAGTTCTAGTTCAGTTCTAGTTCAGTTCTAGTTCAGTTCTAGTTCAGTTCTAGTTCAGTTCTAGTTCAGTTCTAGTTCAGTTCTAGTTCTAGTTCAGTTCTAGTTCAGTTCTAGTTCAGTTCTAGTTCAGTTCTAGTTCAGTTCTAGTTCAGTTCTAGTTCAGTTCTAGTTCAGTTCTAGTTCAGTTCTAGTTCAGTTCTAGTTCAGTTCTAGTTCAGTTCTAGTTCAGTTCTAGTTCAGTTCTAGTTCAGTTCTAGTTCAGTTCTAGTTCAGTTCTAGTTCAGTTCTAGTTCAGTTCTAGTTCAGTTCTAGTTCAGTTCTAGTTCAGTTCTAGTTCAGTTCTAGTTCAGTTCTAGTTCAGTTCTAGTTCAGTTCTAGTTCAGTTCTAGTTCAGTTCTAGTTCAGTTCTAGTTCAGTTCTAGTTCAGTTCTAGTTCAGTTCTAGTTCAGTTCTAGTTCAGTTCTAGTTCAGTTCTAGTTCAGTTCTAGTTCAGTTCTAGTTCAGTTCTAGTTTTGTTCTAGTTCAGTTCTAGTTCAGTTCTAGTTCAGTTCTAGTTCAGTTCTAGTTCAGTTCTAGTTCAGTTCTAGTTCAGTTCTAGTTCAGTTCTAGTTCAGTTCTAGTTCAGTTCTAGTTCAGTTCTAGTTCAGTTCTAGTTCAGTTCTAGTTCAGATCTAGTTCAGTTCTATTTCAGTTCTAGTTCATTTCTGGTACAGTTCTAGTTCAGTTCTAGTTCAGTTCTATTTCAGTTCTGGTACAGTTCTAGTTCAGTTCTAGTTCAGTTCTAGTTCAGTTCTAGTTCAGTTCTAGTTCAGTTCTAGTTCAGTTCTAGTTCAGTTCTAGTTCAGTTCTAGTTCAGTTCTAGTTCAGTTCTAGTTCAGTTCTAGTTCAGTTCTAGTTCAGTTCTAGTTCAGTTCTAGTTCAGTTCTAGTTCAGTTCTAGTTCAGTTCTAGTTCAGTTCTAGTTCAGTTCTAGTTCAGTTCTAGTTCAGTTCTAGTTCAGTTCTAGTTCAGTTCTAGTTCAGTTCTAGTTCAGTTCTAGTTCAGGTTCTAGTTCAGTTCTAGTTCAGTTCTAGTTCAGTTCTAGTTCAGTTCTAGTTCAGTTCTAGTTCAGTTCTAGTTCAGTTCTAGTTCAGTTCTAGTCAGTCTAGTTCAGTTCTAGTTCAGTTCTAGTTCAGTTCTAGTTAGTTCTAGTTCAGTTCTAGTTCAGTTCTAGTTCAGTTCTAGTTTCAGTTCTAGTTCAGTTCTAGTTCAGTTCTAGTTCAGTTCTAGTTCAGTTCTAGTTCAGTTCTAGTTCAGTTCTAGTTCAGTTCTAGTTCAGTTCTAGTCTTCTAGTTCAGTTCTAGTTCAGTTCTAGTTCAGTTCTAGTTCAGTTCTAGTTCAGTTCTAGTTCAGTTCTAGTTTCAGTTCTAGTTCAGTTCTAGTTCAGTTCTAGTTCAGTTCTAGTTCAGTTCTAGTGTCAGTTCTAGTTCAGTTCTAGTTCAGTTCTAGTTCAGTTCTAGTTCAGTTCTAGTTCAGTTCTAGTTCAGTTCTAGTTCAGTTCTAGTTCAGTTCTAGTTCAGTTCTAGTTCAGTTCTAGTTCAGTTCTAGTTCAGTTCTAGTTCAGTTCTAGTTCAGTTCTAGTTCAGTTCTAGTTCAGTTCTAGTTCAGTTCTAGTTCAGTTCTAGTTCAGTTCTAGTTCAGTTCTAGTTCAGTTCTAGTTCAGTTCTAGTTCAGTTCTAGTTCAGTTCTAGTTCAGTTCTAGTTCAGTTCTAGTTCAGTTCTAGTTCAGTTCTAGTTCAGTTCTAGTTCAGTTCTAGTTCAGTTCTAGTTCA